TGTACTTTATGGGACAGTTTTCCAACTAGAGAGAGCATCTACTGAATGTTTTCAATTGGATAACATTTAATTCTAAGAACTCTCATGTGTTCTCAGATTGTTCCTTTTATGTAGCATCCTTTTGTAATCTTTGGGAGGTACTACTACTGTGAAGATCTCTGGATTTATTACATCAATTTTTAAGATATATTTTATGTCCTGAATTATCTCTTTCCTGAAGAGTCAGTATTTTAGTTCATCTTGGTCTTTTTGTTCACGCTACTTGTTTTCTTGAAATGTCTGATTATCATGAGATCACACTGAAGAAAGCAGCCTGGGTGGCTGGGGTGGGTTTTCTCTGCTAGTATGTCAGCAGGAGTGCTCACACAGGCCCTTGCCTGAATGCAAAGACCATATGGGTGGAGCATGCAGTCAGGGGAGCTTTTCCTTGGGGTAAGTGGGTGGGAAGGGGGTTGTAAACTTGGGGGCCCTACTATCCACATTACAAGACTTGGCTGTTCCCAGCCATTCTGTTTACTCTTTTGTTGTTGTTGTATTGTTGTTTTTATGAGAAAACTATTTTTAAAAAAATTTGTCTGGTCACAAACATCAGGCTGCATGTATTCTGCATACAATGAGTGGCATCTATTCCATGCAGACATTGCTTGGATAGCCCTTATATGAAATGCTTGTGACCACACGTTTTGGATTTCAGATGTGTTCAGATTTTAGAATATCTGCATATACATAATGAGATATCTTGAAAATGGGACCCAAGTCTTCATATGAAATTCATTTACATTTCTTATATATCTTATACGCATAGCTTGAAGGTAGTTTTATTCAATATTTTAAATACTTTCGTGCATGAAACAGTTATATTAAGTACTTACGTGTGGAATTTTCCTCTTGTGGCATCATGTTGGCATCCAGAGATGAAGAATACCCAACCTGTGCCCTGAATGGATCTCCTTGTTTTCAGCTTCTCTGCACACCCCATGCTCTTCCTCACCTGTAGGCTCTGAGCCTAGAAGCCTCTCCAGCACTGCCTGCACAGACTGCCTCCCGCCTCCACCACAGACCCACATGACTGAGTTCAGCTGCTACTTTTTGTGCTCTGTTCTATCCACTCATATGTTCCCACCACATCCTATCTTCCAAAAAGTTGTTAACATTGTTTTCCCTTTGATGATCCTCTCTTTTCCTTGCGCATCTACTACTTAACTCTTGGAGTTTATTCATTCTTAAGTTTCTGTACTTTTATTTCAGTGGAGTCTCAGGGAAGACAGGAAGTCATCTCAAATCAGGAGGCAAAACTATCATATAAACTGTTTTTGATGGTCAAGTCAGTTTGGGAAACTGAAATTAATGTATTCTTAAGATTTCTGCTTTTCAGAAACTAGTGAACACTATGAGATGCTAAATTCATTAGTGTTCTAGCTCATAACTTCATTGGTAATTACAAATTTTAAATGTAAAAAGTAATTACGTTAATGGACAAATATTATTTTATATTTTTAAAATAAAAATAAAGGGAAGAAATATTTCTGGTCTTTAGGTCAAAAGTCAAGGATATTCATGACTTTAAATTTTCTAGAAACTTTATCTCTCTAGGAAAGAGCCTTGAATTCCAGTGTCAAGAAAGTCTCCACTTTTTCATAACCCTGGGCAATTCACTCAAAATTTCTGAGGATCATCATTTTCTGTGATGGGAATTTGCTGGTTGCCTTCCACTCCCCAACTCACACTCAGAATATTCCCTTTTCTTTTCTCAAGAATACCCTGGTTATTCATTAGCAAAATAACCCCTTTCTCTCCCTCAGCTTCAGGAGCAAGCTTTGATTCACTTAACTCAGTCAGGGATGGCTGGCCATGGTGAGGTTTCAGATGTGAGCATGCACACAAATATAAGCCAATGACATCAGGAAAAACATCTGCAGGACTCCTAGTGAAAGACACTGCCTCTTTCTTCTGTGATATCTCACTGAAAGAAAACCTCCTATTCCCCTGTACTTGGCTATGTGCTAAGAGTGAGGTCTAGAATTGTTGCAGCCCTTTTGTACCACTAGGGGGGCCAGATGAAGCCTGCACAATAGAAAGCAGAGAGGCGCAACAGAGAAAATAACCACAGTGGCTTAATTTGGGCTATGGTTCAAGGTATCTGAAGCTAGATCTGCCCTTCTGCCTCAGACATCATAGGTCCTTGATGAGTGTTTATCATTAAGCAAAACTATACAAACACACACACATACAACATTTATTGGTAAATTAATGTCAAATATTAACTTGCTTTCATCTTCAAGTTAAAATACCCTCCAGAATAGATAAATTTCTAGTTTATATAATTTGAAAAATTAAGTTTGCTAATAGAAAACTATTTGGCATAGACCTTTTATTGAGATGAAAACCAACTAATTTTCTTCCACTCATATATAAAGATATTGTTTTACTTAATTCTACTTTTACAGGTGATTGATTTCCTCATTCACTAAACCTCAGGGAGTTTTCCTGGGGAATATTGTTTAAGGGGAAAAGAGATAAGAAAACATGATAATAGCTACTTGATTCCTTATTCAATAAACAGGAAATAATTCTAGAAAATAAAATTAAGGTTCACTGTTCATCAGGTAGATTGCCAGACTTCAAATTACTCAAATGCCAAATATAGCTTCTAATATCTCCCTGATTAATTCTAGATTTTGATTCTAAGATACTATACATACTTAGATATTCAGCTAGGGGTTTTTGTTTTTGTCTCAGAATTTGTTTCTAATCAAATCATTTGAAAAGTTAAGTAGGAAAGCAATAATGATTTAGAAATGTATTTAAAAAATTAAAACTCACTTGTATGACCTGAATACTACTGTTTTTATTCTCCAGGCAAGTAACACTAAACAGTATTCACTATAGTTGCTCCACTGTTAGACTCTGCAAAATTGATCATATGGAAATCTCTAGACTGGCAGAAGTTTTTGAAGGTAAATTCACTGACTAGAACCTATCCACAAATTATTCATACTGTGGCAATTCCACATTACTTTGAATAATATGCTTGCTTTTTTCTCCTTAAGATCTATAATTTCTATTTGAAAATAAAGTGGCTTTTTCAAATACAATGTAAAATATTTTAAAGAAACCTACAATAAAAAATATACCAGGAAAATTTCCTAATCCCTACTTCTCTGCCAAAATAGTTTTTTAAAACTAAAATTACTTAAATTGAATAGAGATGCTAAAATAAAAAAGAAAATATTTATAAATTGCATCTTAAAGACCAATATGATGTGTTTATTTTCAAATTGAAGAAACAGCCAGATAAATGCTAAGCGTAGGGTTTTTTGCCTCTCATTTTCATTAGTTTTATTCCTTTCATTAATTTCATTGGTAACTAGCAAAGGAATAAAAAAGAGTGTTAAAAGTACAAATGCCGACATAGGTTGGATTTCCTTTGTTTAAAATCTCAGATAGGACAAAATTAATTTTGAAAATAATTTTTGTAATTTGTAATTTGACCTTTCTTGTTTTTAAGTTAGCATCTTACTTAAATACAGCACAGAAAATGAAAGCATGTGAATAGTTTTTGCAATTCAAGTTATCGATTTAAAAAATCATGTATCTCTCTATCCAGGGAGTTGGGGAATGATAGTCAATTAGACTGTAATAGTTTATGATTATAAGGTCTTTTCCTTTATCTATTATTAAAGCCTTAGGTAAAGCTGTATGTCAAGGTTGAAAAATTTCTCCTGACTTAGAAAAATCCACCACACATGATGAAAGGAGCCCATACTGGATGTTAGGAAACTAAAATTCCAGTCCCAACTCTTTATTATATTGCAGGAGCAGGAGCAGGGCAAGATTTTTAACTCCACTGGACCTCAGTTTGTCCATCTCTAAAATAAAAGAGCAGTGTGGAACCACCTTAGGAAATGTGTGCGGTTGTACTCACCGATGGTCCAGAATGTACTAGTTGCCCCTTGGATGGCAGGAAGTTGTTTTCTCTGACCCTCTCAACAGCTGATCTGCCTGTTTTACAGGTGGAAAATTGAGGCTGGAGGGATGACTGTGAACATAGCTGAAGGGCCAGACTATGTAACATCTTAAGTTCCCTTAAGTGAACTTAAGATGCTATGGCTTGAAGGTATTAATACCTTCCTAGGTTGATGGGCCAGATCAGGGCCATACTACCGGCTCCTACGGAGATGGGTTAGTGGAAGGAGGGTACCTGCTGAGAAAGTGCTGCTGGCACCCCACTGCCTGGGGTTTAGACTGGACTGGAGCGTGAATGCACTCTAGCTGGTGTAATGAAAGCAAAAGAAACAGTAACACTGTCTTACTTCTAACAAGATTTAAATGATCAAGAAATGACACCTAGGCTAGGATTTTCATTTAAGATTAATAAATTGTTCAGGCTTATCTTTGCAACATCCATCTAGCTCCCATTGCCTGCAAACAGAATCAAGTAGAAAAGAAATCTCCCTTGAACTCCTTGGGGAATTAAGTGACAACAAATTGACTATTAAATGCACAACAAGAAACAAACCCTCTGAGCCCTTCGACCACATCTTTCAAGCCTTATTTCTGAGAATAGAAAATTCTAAGCTCAATTTGAGTGTCACTATAAACTCCTCTCAGTGCCAGATGACTCTATGCACATATTTATACCCAAAGTACAAACAACTTAGAATGTTTACACTGAGTAGTAATGGAAATCATGTGTCAAATACAATGAGGGGAAGAGAGTAGAGCTTTCTTCAGAACTAAAGCTTAAAGATATACAATATCATGGAAAATCTGGCTTACGAGTAAGAATGCATTGTTTACCTATTTCATTTAATTATAGAGAACATGCATTTTCACTCTTTACATACAGTTTCTGAAGTCTGTTTTTGTTGTTGTTTGTTTTTTGCTCTGTAGTGTTGCCTGAAGCTATGGAAGGATCATAGCTCCTCATACACAGTCTCAAAAACCATGGCCACACACATTCCTGTGATTTGTAATCCCCATTTCCTTTAAGCTCTCACCCCCAGAGAGAGGCAGCGGAGGATTCTTCTACCAAGTCCAAAAGCAGAAGAGCAGAAACAGTAAAGAGAGCCCTCCTTGGATGTCCTCAGGGGCATTCTGCATGTCAGCTTTCCTATTAGAGCACTGTAAAGACCATGAAAACTGTAAGGGCCAGGAACAGAATTCTGGAATCTTTCTACTGTGAGAGAGTCCTCTGAATTTCTCACTAAGTACAAGCCTGAGGAGTTAGCCTCCCCTCAGCTTCTCATCACCAGTGATTCAGGGACAGCCATTCGCAGAGCTCTGTAGAAGAGACAGCATACTAGCTCGACAGCCCTGTTTCCCTCCTCAACAGAATCCACCCTAAGGTTAATGCTTAAAGGGCCATGAAGATATCAAATGGAGAACACAGTCATGGCTGCCAATTTGTTTGATATAACATGTCTTAGATGGGTCAGTCAGAAATTCATAGCTGTTAGGTGGAGTCCGGCTACACTATTTCAAGAGCCAGGATTCCCCCATCCCCAGCCATGTTCACTCCGTCATTCTCATGTGTTGCCTCTCCAGTGGACTCCGGTGCCAGGGAGCAATGGCTGACCTCAGGCCCTGACCACCCCAGCTCCTCCCCTACAGAGTATTGGATTTAATGTCGACGACACTGAGTACTCACCTGGGGCCACTAGTTCTTTTTGTTTTAAAACTCAGAGAAACTGATACTGCTCTACCTTCTCCTTTTGCTTCTTCTGTCACTTGGTAGAGAGACTGTCTTTGTCCTATCTCACTTAGGCAGCCTGCTTGCTCCTCTCAGCTGCAGGAAAGAGTGTCCCAGTGCATTCTTCCTAAGTGGACATTCCAATTTTCAAAGAAGTTGGCACTTCATCATCAGCAATTTTTATACATTCCTTTTCAATTTGATTCCAAAAATATACTATCCAGACCTGCTGTGAGTTCAGTTTCTCTCCCTACCTACGGCAACCAGCCCCACAAAACTCAAAACCTAAAGGCTGGGATTGCTATAAAGTAGCAAAAAAATCTTAGAGGAAAAACAAAAAGCAAAAACAAAGTAATCTGTAGAGTTGAATTTAAAAAAAGACAGATCAGGGCTGGGTGCAGTGGCTCATGCCTGTAATCCCAGTACTTTGGGAGGCTAAGGTGGGTGGTTCATAAGGTCAGAAGATTGAGACCATCCTGGCTAACATGGAGAAACCTCATCTTTACTAAATACAAAAAATTAGCCGGGCATGGTGGCGTGTGCCTGTAGTCCCAGCTACTCGGCGGGCTGAGGCAGGGCAATCGCCTGAACCCAGGAGGTGGAGATTGGAGTGAGCCAAGATAGTGCCACTGCACTTCAGCCTGGTGACAGAGTAAGACTCCATTTCAAAAAACAAAAAACAAAACAAAAAAAAACACAGATCCTCTCTACGACAGTTTTTGCCTTTTTATTAAAATTTCACTTCCCCAATACATAGAACCAATTTTAAATAGAAACCTAATTGAAGCTACAAGAACCAATCAACAACATATCTGTAATTCTGAACGTCCTTTCATTTAGAATCTTTGGCTGCTTAATACATTTTGCATTGCACCCATATGTCCTGAAAAAAAATGGTGAGACATATGATTATTTAAGTTATATTATATAAATTGAGGATCTAAACATATCTTACCTGTAAGTATGTTTCCAAACCTTGTCGTCGCTGTTCCAAGACTTTGGGGACCCAGTTCCTAACATGTTTAGAAGGGATTTCTGGAGTTTTTATACATTTCTTAAGCTATAAAGACAGAATAGAAAAAAAAAACAGAGATGTCTGTTAATTATAATGATATTATTTGGGGGAAAAACGCCAATAAAAGAAAGTGAACTACTGCTATCTGCAATATAAAATAGAGAAAAATATAATTACACTGAAATTTTGTCAAACAATTCTTTATTTAGGTGTCTTGACTATTGAGGTTTCAGAAGAATAGTTTTGTGTTTTGGTAGGTATTATTGTTGATATTTCAGATTGAAATCTGAAAAATTAAAAGCCCAGTAAATAAATAAAAAAGAAAGTAAAGAAATTTAGTTACAAAAATGAATTAATACAACAGAATTTTGCTCAGATGAAGGACTCCACTGATGAAAAATCTTTCTACATATTTTTCACATAAAGAAATCAAAACAAAATGCAACTGTATATAAGCGTTGTCCCTAGAAATGCCATTAACTAGACTACATCATTTGGAGAGAAAACTAAAAAAATGAAAGCCTAATCTTTTCAATGTTCCTAACAATTACTTTCCAACTCCATTCATGAAAACTCAATGATAGTTCTCGGCTAAGCCTTTTGGGACAGCAGTTTTAGGGGATAATATAAATAAAGAAAAATTTCTTTGCAAGTTGCATTAGAACTATCTGTGGTAGACAGAATAATCCTCCTTCTCCAAAGACACCCAAATCCTAATCCTGTGGATGTTACCTTATATGGCAAAAGGGGCTTGGTAGATTTGGTTAAATTGGTCGTCTTAAAATAAGAAGATTCTCCTGGATTGTTAGGGTGGGCCCAATGTAATCACAAGGATCCTTACAAAAGGGAGGCAGCAGAATAAGTTGGAAGAGATTGGGAGAAACAATTTCATTGCCTCCGGAGATGGAGAACGAGACCACGAGGTAAGGTGACCTCTAGAAGCTGGAAAGAATGAATTCTGCCCTAGAGCCTTCAGAGGAAATGTCATCCTTCTGACACCTTGATTTTAACCCAGTGAAACCCACTTCAGACTCCTCACATCAGGAAGTGTAATACAATAAACTTATATTGTTTGAAGCCACTAAGTTTACGGTAATTTGTTATAGCAGCAATAGGAAACAAATACACTGCCTCTAAAAATGAAATGTGCTTAATTGCTAATTAAAAACTTGAAAAAACCTACCAAGGTTGCTCCTTTACTAAACATGCACAGAAACAACAGAGTTATGAATAAGAAAATGCACGGAATTAAACCTGGGCAGCTAGAACTATAATGAAAAATTATTTCCATATGTAAGAGTAAAATTTGTTGTACATCACAAAGAAGGGGCCCATGTACTGGCTAGAGCAGAGCAGCCATCTTTGCCTCTGAGGTAGAAGTCTCACATGAGAATGGTAAAGCAGCAAGCGCCTGGGTCCCTGACAATCATGAAACCACCACACCAGCACCAGACATTTATGGAGGGAGAAACCAAGTTATATCTGCTAATGTCACCATTATTTTGGTTTTTGAGTTGCTTGCAGCCAAATACAATCCCTCATAAACAAGGGATGTGGCTAGCACTGCTAGCTGCTTAGCCAATATTCATTCCCTCCTTCTTTTGCAGAAAAAAAGATCAATGTCATTCAGAGGGCTAACATGTTGAGCTATAAATTGGTTTTCCAGGTTCTCTTTTAACTAGGGTGACCATGTGACAGTTACCAATATGTGTACATGTCTACTGGGGGTAGGGCTCTTATTTTCCTAACAAAAAGCAACTGGCTTTTCTTGCCAGAAAATGCAGAAGCCATGCCTAGAGGGGTAGCAGCTATGTTATCACCAGAAGTGTGAAAGTCACATGCTACGATGAAGACAGTGAAGCAGGGAAACATGAAGAGCCCAGAATATGAATGTTGTGAGATGCCTGCATCACCTTGACTGCCTGCCTTTAGTTTTCCTATGAGAATAAAAAATCTCTTACTTGTTTAAGAAATCTAATCAAGTTTCTATTATATGTAATCAAAGACACTACTAATATAAAGGAATCACTTGTTCTAGTTTAAGTCAGAGATGCTCAATAGATTCCAAGCAGAGATGCTGGGTAGGCAGGTGGGTATGGGTCTGTAAATGTGGAGGTCAGAATATATGGGTATTTAGAGCCATGTAACTAGAGGAGATGGCATTAAGACTTAGGTACAGATGGAGAAAAAAGGCTGTGGTGGACAGAATCCTAAAATGATCCCCTGGTGTAAATGCCTCGTATGATCACCTCCTCTTGAGCAGGAGTGGGACCCGTGACTATGTCAGGACAGTCACTCCCATGATTACATTGTGTTGTATCTGATAGTCCTAGTAGACTGCTGGCTTTCAAGTAAGGTGTCATGCGATGAGAGGGCTACATGGCTAGGACCTGAGGGTGATCTCTAGGAGCTGAGAGCTGCCCCTTGTGTTCAGCCGGCAAGGAAAAAAAGGGACCTCAGTCCTGCAACTGCAAGCCACTGAATTCTGCCTAAATGAGCTTGGAAGAGGGCCCCATGCCTCAGATGGGATGGAGCGGCAGGGAAGAGAAGCAGGGCAATCACTGGAGGAAGTGGGTGAGTGGGTTTCATCAGGAGGACAGGGATAATCAGACTGTGCCAGATGATAGGAAGTCAGTAACTCGGGTACAGAGAGAAGGGGAGTGGGGAAGTAGCAGCTCTTTTAAGGAGTTCTACTAAAAGAATAGGAAGGAGTGCAGTGGGATGAGTGCAGAAGGGAAGCACGGGGCCAAAGGCAGGCTTTATTTTGTGAAACAAACTACTGCAATAGGTTCATATATTGATGAGACTGATTCCATGTTGAGGGGGAAGCTGATAATGCAAGAGACAGAGAAGGAGGAAGATTTATAATTGGTGACAGCAGAATAAATACATACTTCATCTCTATATGGTCTGAGACATTTCTCAAGATCAAAGCCAAAATGCTAAATTATTCTGTGGTAATAAGCTTATTAAGTTTCATTTTAAACATAAAGAAACTTCCTTTCAAACTACTGAATCACAACATATATTTCAGAATAGAAAATCAACTCCATTATATGTGTCCCCTTTAAAAAAAACTTTTGAAGATCTAGCACTGAAAACATTTTTCCTTTTTTATTTATGTCAGGAGTACTGAGGAAGCGGATCATCGTAGCTGCTGGGATCTGTGACAGCATTTGTAGGTGAGTAATGAACTGCTTTAGATGAGAGACAAACCCAAGACAATATGTTTCCAGTAGGGCTCAGCTGCTTATAAGATAAATACTCCTCTGCCACTTCACCCGATGATTAACAGTCCTGGCCCAGCTGCGTCCAGGCAAACGGCCTTTCTGATTCACATAGATAAGTACCAGATTCCACGATACCACAAACACAATCCCCTTTTCCTGGTGTGACCACTCCCTTTTCCTTTTTTATACTGCTAGAATTTACACATAACTTACTCCATGCAGACCTACCACTGCATACATTGGTTATAGTAACCATTTTCCACAAAGAAGCAGAAAGACTTTTCCCAAGCACATGAATGAAAAGAAAAGTTAAAGAGGCGTGAAACATTTGGGGATAATATCCCATCTTCCCCCCAGGGTTCCTTTTAGAGAGAATGTACAGGGTGCTGTGCTACTGGTTTGACCCCACATGGTGGGTTTTTGGTTCTTCTTTATTGTCTACTTCATGGAAATAAATACAGGAGAATGAAGTCTTTTACTCAAGCCAAAAGTAAGTCAATAAAAAATGAAGATCGTTAATTTAAAAATGAAACAGCACCACATTTCACTGAAACCTCTGTGAATAAAGGATGGGCTGCAACTGACAAAAAAACAGCTGGGAAGGCATGAAAATAAAATGTGCTTAGCAGTTTGCCATGCTGGAAAGGTTTTTCTGCCCATACATGCAATTTTTGGCCTAGGGAGATACAGCTCTTTTCAGGAACCACCATTTAAAATAGCAAATTATTTGGCCGTAGTGGGGTGTGGACAGGTATAGCAGAGGCACACAGGAAAACGAATACAAGCTTGAAGGCTCACCCTGTCACAGGAGCCTGTGCCTGGCCTGTAACGAAGAAGACTAGGATGGGGTTTTGTTTTTGTTTTGGTGTGGATGTGGTGTTCTTCTCACCTAGTACTAGCAGAGGAGCTACAAAGGCATCAGGCAAGCACAGCCTGGGGTTAAACTTAACAGAGAATGCAAACTCCCACAGTAGAAACTGTTCCTCTAGTAATTCATAAACATGTATGATGTTCTCCAAATATGCCATTTGCCAAATACTTATTTAATGCCCGGTATGTGCCCAAGACCCTACTAGATACTCTAACAGTGTGGAAGATGCAAAAGATAGGACATGGTCCCAACTTTTTAAAAAGTACCTTCTAATTAGACATAATTTGGGGATTACAGTTTTATCTCATATATTTCCAAAATTTAAGCAGAAATCTCTATTCTAAACAGGAGTTCTAAGAACAAAGACAAAGACATTAGGGAAGAAAGGGAGCTAACATGAAAAAAGGAGAACTTGAAATGTCTTGGTGTGAATAGACCAGAACACAGAGGAAAGGGCATTCAGCAGGGCAAAGACAGGTGGGAAGCAAGTTTTATAGCATATAATGGGGTAACGGGAGATACTGGCTCAGCTGTCACTGAAGGTTCTTAGGAGGAGTGAAAAATAAAGTTGGCCAGCAAAGGGGTAATAGACAGAATAATGATTTCTTCAAAGATGTCCAAGTTCTAATCCCCAGAATCTGTGAAGGTATTTGTTTACATGGGAAAGGGGGCTTTGCAGATGTGATTAAATTAAGGATTTTGAGAACGGGAGACTATCCTGGATTATCTTTGTGGGCTCAATGTTATTATAAGGGGAGGCACAAGGAAAAGGGGACTGAGTTTGTGGTGTCATGGAATCTGGTACTTATCTGCACGAATCAGAAAAGCTGTATACACATGGTGTCGAGTCAGAGGAGAGGTGATGACAGGAGACGTTATGATGGACACAGAAGCTGAAGTGGAGTGATTGCTGGCTTTGAAGATGAAAGAGGTCACAAGACAAGGAATGCTGGAAAAGGCAAGGAAATGGACTCTGTCTTATAACCCCCAGAAGACTCAGCTAGAGTCAGATAATAAATTTTAAGGCCAGATGTGGTGGCTCACACCTGTAATCCCAACACTTTGGGGGGTCAAGGCGGGTGGATCACCTGAGCTCAGGAGTTCAAGACCAGGCTGGCCAACATGGTGAAATCCCATTTCTACTACAAATACAAAAAAGTAGCTGGGCATGATGGAACATGCCTATAGTCCCAGCTATTCGGGAGGCTGAGGCAGGAGAATCACTTGAACCTGGGAGGCAAAGGTTGCAGTGAGCTTAGATCGCACCACTGCACTCCAGCCTGGGTGACAGAGTGAGACTCTGTCTCAAATAATAATAAATAAATTTTAAGCCACTGCATTTTTGGTGTTTCGTTACAGCAGCAGTAGGAAACTCATACAAGGTTTAAGATTATTGGCCTTGAGGGTCAATGTCTATGATGGTAGACAACAGAGACTTGTTTCAGAGTATTTGAGTAAAAGAATGAAGATAAAAATGGTGTTTTAGGGAAACTGTCCTGCAGCAGAGACTGGATAAGGATCTGAAATGGTTCAAGTAATACTGATATAAAGTAGTAAGATTCTGGACTGGGACAGTAGGAATAGAAAATGAAAAATTAGGCTGGGCACCGTGGCTCATGACTGCAACTCTAGCACTTTGGGAGGCTGAGGTGGGGGGATCACCTGAGGTCAGGAGTTCGAGACCAGCCTGCCCAACACAGCAAAACACCATCTCTACTAAAAATATAAAAATTAGCCAAGCATGGTGGCAGGTGCCTATAATCCCAGTTATTTGGGAGGCTGAGGCAGTAGAATTGCTTGAACCTGGTGGGTGGAGGTTGTGGTGAGCTGAGATCGAGCCACTTCACTCCAGCCTGGTGAAAGAGCAAGACTCCATCTCAAAAAAGAAAAGAAAAGAAAAGAAAATGAAAAATTAAGGCTGGACGCCATGGCTCACACCTATAATCCTAGCACTTTGTGAGGCCAAGGCGGGTGGATCGCTTGAGCACAGGAGATCAAGAAAATGAAAAATTAAGTAGTGCATATTATAGGAATTTGAAAGATAATGCAAGGTAACAGAAAGGTAGGAACAAACTTGAAGGTTTAAAACCTTGAAATGTATGGTTCTAAGTTCTGTGACCCCAGTATGTGTGATAGAAGTATGTTAGGAAGGGTTGTGTCTAAGTGATAATCATACTAGAGGAATTCTCAAACTTTAACAGACATTAATCATCTGGGGTGCTGCAGATTATTGGGCTTCATCACAAATATTCTAATTCAGTATATCTAAAGTGTTGCCCAGGAATTTGACCTTAGATAATTCAAAAATGCCAATCTAGAAAAACTAGAAGAAAATGGAATCAAATACTCATCATAGCACAACAAGATTAATTTTAGATAGCATCTGAAAGGGTAAAAACAGACATATTAGAAAACAGAAAAATTTAACACCTGCATAAATTAAAATAAATGTTGTAACCAAAATTAAAAGGCCCTTGTTAAAAAACGCTTCCAGCAAATGGCTAACACTGTATTAATAGGCCACACAAACTAATAAGCAAAAAAAACCCAAGACCCTAGCAGATAAATGAGAAACACATAAAACAGACAGTTCAAAAAAGAGGGACTACAACTCCTAAACAAACCTAAGAAACACCTATTAAAACAAGGCAACATACATGCTTGCTAATAAATCTAATTTTTGAAGGGGTAATAGAGTTGAATATTTCAAGAGGATTAAGTAACCATAGATTTAACTACATTTAAAGGGAAAATATTTTATGTTAAACTCTAACATTCAAAGCACATCACAAGATTCAAATGTGGAAATTTAAGGTACCAAAACTGCAATAAAAGGGTAAGGTTGCGTGATGTGGCAGTGGTAGTCAGTCAAGTCTGAGGACTCTGATTGCATTTTTTTTTTTTTTAATGAAAGCTGTAAATGCCAGGGTAAGGACTGTACTGTTAAATTGGAGGGCTGTAAGTAGCTATTGAAGGGCTTTTTAACTTTTATTATCATTATTATGAGACAGAGTTTTGTTCTTGTTGCCCAGGCTGGAGAGCAATGGCACAATCTCTGCTCACCGAAATCTGCACCTCCTGGGTTCAACTGATTCTCCTGCCTCAGCTTCCCAAGTAGCTGGGATTACAGGTGCCCACCACTAAGCCTGGCTAATTTTTTGTATTTTCAGTAGAGATGGGGTTTCACCATGTTGGCCACGCTGGTCTTGAACTCCTGACCTCAGGCCTCCCAAAGTGCTGGGATTACAGGCATGAGTCATCACACCTGGCCTATTATTATTATTCTCTGATTGCATTTTTTACCCATTTCAACCCTTCTTAGCACACTATCTTACAGATTTATGTTTATTTTTTACCCCCATCAGTATCTGTATTTCACTGCCTTTTAGAGTTATCTTTTTGCCAAATCTAATACAATCACAAGGAGGCAAGCAAAGGAGACTTCTAGCAGCTGCTAGCCCCTTGATAATACATAAAATTAGACAGTGTATCCCAACTAAAACTCTGCTCCACAAAGCTATTTTTATCTCTATGTCCCTGTAAAGTTGTCTCAAAGGCTGCTAAAAATATTCCAAATTGGGAGATTTGATAATTTCTATTCTATTAACGCTAGATCTCATTATATAATTATAAGAATAGCTAAAATTATAATAGAACTGCAGATATTGAGAGAAAGGAGAGTCCTGAAAAATCTAGAAATCTTTTTGACCATGAATAGCTACAAACTGCCTATACTGATTGGGGAGAGAGTCCTCTTCTGCAGAAGAAAATAAATTGTATTAGAGCAGAGAACAGGGTGAACAAGCCTTCACTCCAGAAGCACAGGCAGCCTCGAGCTCGGGGCAGGCCTAATTGGCAGTCACCCACCTGTGCCTGGTGTGGAGCTGGTCCCTGAGTATCTGGAGAGTACAGCTGGGCTGTGCTAGGGTTACGGAGTGCTGGGTGTTGACCTAGGAGGTTAGCGAGGGGCCTGCATATGACAGGCTGCCTCCTCCAGACTGGTTAACAGAGGCTGGGCAAGGCAGGGAGTACTTGTTTTAATCCCACAGTAGGGACTTAATTTCATCAGTACCCGGCAGAAACCTCACTAGACTTTTTCCCAAAACACACAAACAAAACCAGAATTCCCTGAGAAGGAAGTGAGCCCCAGACTCCAGATTTGTTTCTTTTTGGAGTACCCTGGGGTTGGAGCTTTTGCAAAGTCGCTGGCAACACCTGCTGTAAATCTTTGTTCACCTGTACTGTTTCTTTTCCAAGTCAACTTGTGTTGAACAAAGTGCTAACTAGAGAAGTAGATGTGGATTATCCCTTGCCGACCTAACAGAAAAGTGTACCGACAAGTTAGAGCTCCCCTTTAAAAGAAAACAAGGAAACAGACTAATTAATCTCTCATTAATATCCTGTTAACGTTTATACGTTTACTTGTTAGCAGGATTTTTCTGGGCAATTTCATGAGGTATTTCTAGATATTAAAATAATTTCAGCACACCAATAAGAATTTATAACTTAGAAAAATTAAATTTAGGTAGAAATTAAAGAAGCATTCACTCTCCTATGCTTTAATAACCATTTCTCCCCAAAACTCAGCTCTTCTTTTTGTCTTTCTGTTTCATTTACCTAAGACCTTTAATGAAGTGTATCCTAGTGCTGAAACATCAGTTTTGTAAAGTGGCTCTACAATTCAAAAGAAGGCTAAGAGCTTCTTTTAACGTGTGTTCCCCAGTCTCTGAATACACAACTACATGTATATGATCTTTTCCAGGTACATGTAAATATAATTTGAGTTTAATAAATGTCTTCCTGTAAGACAATCATTTGCTTTTTCTCCCCTTTCGGTAAAGAACATTAAGTGTATTTCATGGATAAAACAGGGTCTGGGTCTTATTCTTTCTGAACCTGTAACATTGAATGTAACATAATGCAAACAGCTTGCAGCCTCAGATTTTTATATGTAAAAGATTTTACATATAAAATCTACCTATTCAGAAAGCATACCTTTAAGGAACTGAATTTATTCTAAAAAGAAATTTACTTCCTGATATAAGACACTGTATATACATACCCAAGAAATATCAGTGCTCTTAGAACCACAGAGAGGAGTATTAACATTATACCATCCGCCACATAGAGAAAAGAAAAACAACCAAAAAACAAGTTACCTTTTTGTGCAAAGCATGAAATTCGCTGTATCTTTTTTCGACAAAATGTTTTCTTCCATTCATTAACACTTCTATCTTAAACACCTGAGGAAAAAATTTAGAAGATTAATTATATTAGTTCAAAACCCTCAATTGTCTGAGGTGGTAAGTTTGTGACCTTGATATATTTCATTCCTTTAATTACAGTAGCTGATACTCCAAAACCCAGAAGGCTCAGGAGACCCTGGCCCAACAGCACTGATTAATGAGCACTCGAACCAAAGGCTCACTAACAAAGTACAGCATTCTCCAAAAACATGTCTAAAAACAAGGGAAACATAAATGCATTAAAAAGCTACATCATTTTTTAATAAGATAATATTTCTCCCTTAAAATTATTTCTCCAAGCGAATATGACAGCACTGAAATAATACTCTTTACCACAGTATTGCAAGAGGAATACTCCGGTAAAAATCTCAGGCATGTGGCATTCTATTACGGGCAGTTCAATGTAGGCAGTACTGTGTCATCTATAAGACAATCATGCAAACAGCAGTACATTTTAGGTTAATTTCCTCCTAACCTGCATATTCATCTCTAGTCTCAGCTGGGCTTACTCTGCTGTTTGCAAAACAGGGAAAATGTAGTAAAGGCTCATTTTCCCTGCATGATACAAGTGACAGCTTGTGCTCCTACCTCCACAAGGTTGAAAGGCCAGATGAAAAGGCTCTCTGGGTGCACTAATTAGTAGACACTAACATGACATTTTCTTGATTCTTGGGTCAGTGGGTCAAGACTGGGAACAAGGGATGAGAAATACTGCGAAATGCTCATGAAAATACAATGTTAAGGTCAGATGGGGAGGGATGGTTGGCAGGATCTAAAGAGGAGCTCTGTCATTCCAAGAGTTTGTATTTGACTCCTGTTTTGCTAAGTGAGAGTTTATAAACACTAAGGTGAAGGAATATTGTTTAATTACATAGTAAGCCTAATCTTCTATTTCAATTGTCCTTCTAAAAAAAATACAAAACTGTAGCTGAGATCACATGACATTAAAAAGTATTAAAAGCATGCTTACTTTTAGTCTAAAAATAAGAACTACTTAAATTTAGCATATGAGATACAAGGTTGCTCAACTTCCTTACGAAAATAGATTGCTATGGCTCTATATTTCTATCTTATATGTTAAGTATGACTGTTTTAGAAAACCAGAAATTATGTCATCAAACATAAAATCTGTTTGCATTTTTGTGCTTCTTTGAATCAGAAACAAAATCTTCTGCTGCATGGCTCAGTTTAAGAAATCTGCTTTTATGAAGCCGTAAATTTTCAATAATGTAATCAATATCTTATTGTTTTTCACAAAAAACAAAATGAACTAGTAAAAATATTTTCTTCTAAAACCATTTACATATGCTTCAACCTCTCAGATATACTTACACTGTTTATTAGGGAAAAAAAATGTTTATTAATTCACCAGAGAAAATTATTCTTCAAAGACCTTGACAGAAATAGAACCAGGAAAATACCTCAAGAAAACAAACAAGAGAAGCACAGCTTTAACTTGGGGGCTTGATTAATAAGCTACAGAGACCCTTTTTTACTATCAGGTCCCAGATTGAAATCAGGACAATATGGTAGCATTGAAAGTAGTTTTCATCTGCTGAGCTTCCTGAAATAAATGAGGTTATGTTCTGGGTCTTACTGCTTGAAGCTTTATCACAAAACCACCACCTTAATTGGCACATTAGCTACAGAATCTATAAAACAGGGAGAAGTTTGAAAACTGAGCAAGGCTTGACCTACTGGCTCACCCCTCAAAGCACCCCCACTTGAAGGCCAAGGTAAAACAAATTATGCAACGGCTGCTTCACAGAATGTCACCTCTTCTACCGACCAGATGGTTACATGACCGAGTTCCACAGTTACTCTTCACAAGCACTAAATTCTCAGTGTGGGCTGGGCGAGGGTGGATGCACACACCCACAGGAGTGTTTGTGATAAACTTTAATAATGTTACAATTGGAAAAACACACAAGATGCCTAATATTATCAAGACTTTCTTCTAAATTCTGGGAAAACATTTTGGAAAGGAAGTTGTTCATCAGGATTTTCATGACAAAGTGAAGCAAGAAATAGAGTCAATTTATAAATCCTATTTTCCTGAATACCATGCTAGGTCATTTTTGTAAAGCCTTTCCAACTTTCTTACAGATGTTGACCCTGCTGTCTGGAAATCCCTTTTGTTGCTTGGCTCTGCTGGCAAACTCCTAGTAGTGATTATGCAACTCATGAGGTGGCAGCCTTTAGGATGGTGCTGCGAAAGCACTCAGCATAGAATCTGACATTCATCTATTTATTTATTCAACAGATATTTACTGAGGGCCTGTAAGTGCCCAGAAGTTGTTCTAGGCTCTGCGATTCAGCAGTGAACAAAAAAGACAAGAAGTCAGCTTTTATGGGGCTTACATTCTATCCAGTGAGGGACAAAAAAATAGCATGATTTAGGAAATAATCTGTGACATGAAGAACAATACAGCAAGCAGGGTGAGGAGATGGTGCTCCATGAAGGTACTGTTTGGATATTGGTCAGAGAAGGCTTCCCTGAAGAGTGAGGCAGTGAGAGGTACCGAACTTGGGGGTAAATACCAGCAAAAAGGGATGCAAGAGTTGAGTGCAGGCCAGATGTGGTGGCTCACACCTGTAATCCCAGCACTTTGAGAGGTGGAGGCAAGCGGATCACCTAAGGTCAGGAGTTCAAGACAAGCCTGGCCAACATGAGAAACCCTGTCTTTACTAAAAATACAAAAAATAGCCAGGCATGGTGGTGGGAGCCTGTAATCCCAGCTACTTGGGAGCCTGATGCAGGAGAATCACTTGAACCCGGGAGGTGGAGGTTGCAGTGAGACAAGATTACGCCACTGCACTCCAACCTGGGCAATAGAGAAAAAAAAATAAAAATAAAAAAGTTGAGTGTGTTGCCTGGAATTTCAAGGGCTGTTTTCACTCCTATTTAAAAAAGAAAAACCCCACACACTTTAAGGTTAAAACCAAGGGCACTTCTGGACAAAGAGTAACAGGAAGGAGTTGTAGCCTCCCACTTGAAACTGGGCAAATTAAATATGTGGGAAAAAATGGCTCTCAAGACACTGGACATCAGGAAATGAAAGACAGTGAGAGACAGGAAACAAACAAGGTGAGCCCTACTAATACCTCAGCTTGCTGCCCAGAGAGAAGCTAGCGCCTGCAGCTGAGGGGGCCTCCCTCAAGTATTCAGGTGAAAACTGATGGGCGCATGAGACTGAGTAACTAAACTACCCAAGGATGAAAAAGGATTAGAGCTCACATGCAACTGGTAATGGTGCCTGTGTTCAAAAGCCGGGGCAGAAAACCTCATCATTCACGAGGCATTAGTTACAGTACCCTGAAAGTTCTTGACTCAGAAGTGGGGAAAATGAACTAGATTAAAAGTTGTTTTAGTCCAGTTTAACAACACTTCAAAGCCAGGTCTGAAGAGGTTGAATTGTTTCCGGGTAACTTAACCACATGCCAGAACAAAGCTCAAGAATATTTTTAGGACTATAAAAACATCTAGAACACAACAAGGTAAAATTAACAAAAAGGTTGCCAGATTTCCCCTCCAATGTACTAAGTTACACTGTTACTAATAGGGTACAGAATGTCTAGCCCATCCTGGTCAACATAGTCACTTTGGCTAGTCTGGTGCATAAAATGAGAATTAATTGGGCATATTTTGACAAGCATGTATGGTGGCATAAGTTTCCATTCCAACTATCTCACATAAAATTACATATAGGCCTGAGCTGCCTGCTTATTTTTTATTTTATGTATTCATTTAGCTATGTTACTCAAGCTGGACTCAAACTCCTGGCCTCAAGTGATCTTGCCATCTCAGCCTCCTGAGTAGGTAGGATGAGGCCCGTGCCTTTGCGCCTGGCTCTGACCTACCTGTTTAGTTTTCTATTCCTAGAGACATCTTTCCTCAGTTTTCCAGAAATCCCTTCTGTATAAAGTAAGGGAAGCTGCATGTAATTAAATAAATGTATTAAGGATTCCATTCAGATTTGCTTAACAAAACAAAAATCATTCTGTTCATTTGACTAAATTTTTGCCACAGTTGTAGAAACATTATTAAGTCAATAGAATTCAAATTAAAAAGAAAAACAAATGCCATTACTTTAAAGGAAAGAATCTGATCCCCAAGTATGGTTTTAATTATATGTGAAAGCCAACTTTTTTCCTTTGTGGTAACATCTCTGAAATTATACTAGAAGTCAAGGCTAAACTATTTCAAAAGATGGGTTTATACACCAATTTTTCAAGAGTATGTCTAATAAATAAAATAAACTTAAGCTAAGGAAGGACTTAACTTATATTCCAGGTTGAATGTTCTGTCTCAGAAACTCATACCTTACAATGTTGATCACTTCTAAAGCAAAAAAAAAAAGAGAGAGAGAGAGAGAAAGAAAAAAAGGAAAGTATTCTCTATAACAGATTAAAGTATCTAATAAATAATTCAAGTGCCTGCCAAATAGAGATGGGGGTTCTATATACAAATAAAGGTTTAACCCCAAGATTCCAAGTAGTTTAGGTCAGTATATCGTTACACTGGTCATCTGAAATATACATGAAGGACAACTGTCTGTGTAGAATATGACTTTTCATAAATATATATACATGTACATGCATATATATGTATATTTAATACTTGTTCATCAGAACAAGATGCACCAAATAAATATTAAAGCCAGGCTTAAAAATCAGCATTCCTTCTTTAGCAGGAATAAGCAATCAAGATAATAAAATAAAGAAGGTTGTTATTCCACTATAAAAAGTTAAATCTCTTAAAGGGCTACTTTTTTTTTTTTTTCGAGATGTAGTTTTGCTTTTGTTGCCCAGGCTGAAGTGCAATGGCACGATCTCGGCTCACTGCAAGCTCTGCCTCCTGGGTTCAAGCGATTCTTCAGCCTTAGCCTCCTGAACAGCTAGGATTACAGGCACCCACCACCATGCCCAACTAATTTTTTACATTTTTAGTAGAGATAGGGTTTCATCATTACTCCTGACCTCAGGTGATCCTTGGC